GTGTGTCAAATCTTCAAAAACTCAATCATGATTCAACCCTATAGACAACTGTCTTGGACATGGGCAGTTGGTCCCACCTGAAGAATTTATCATCAATCATGAAAAAGAAACCACTCAACAAGAAACTTCGACAAAATCTACAACATGTACATGGAAGAATTATTTGCCCTCTTAGGAGCTATCATGTTGTGTATTCAAGTCGAGGGAGTGGGTGGCATTTGCATCATGATTAAATATTTTTTTAAAAGCATTTTTAAATCATTACTGTTTTATTTTTAAATTGTTATATCAAAAATATATTTTAAAAAATAAAAATTCTAGGTAATTATGAATATATTTGCAGTTGAGCAACAGAAAAGCAAACACTGGTTTTATCAGTTGCAGCCATCGAAGGAAGAATTAAGCATACCAATTTAATGTGTTGAATTTGAATGATTTTCAAGTTTCCGATGATATGAAGCCATAAAGGCTAAAGCTGAAAGAGCAAATGGATGACACCTTGCCGATTTCAATTTTTTTGTAACGTCCAAAAGTAAAGGTTGAAAAAAATGAAGAGGAGACAAATCGATTTGGTAGGTTATTGGCTTTTGTAGTTTACTTCTGTTATCCATAACACCATTACTTATTTCGAAAAAGGACAAGAAGACTTATCTTCTACTTTCCAGAATCCACTACCTATTTTGTTACAAAAAAGAAAATAAAGAAGATGATGATATTTTTTTACTAAAAATATTATTTTTATCTGAAAATACTTAAGATAATACTGTAAAACATTTATAAACCAACCAACAACCCTTAAAAAACTCAAAAAGTTCTTTATAAAACCAAAATTACTTGGAAAAAAAAATATGAACTGAATTCAACCTTCATATTTAATGTAACTCTTTGATATTGAAATGAATCTTTTTCATGACTAAAATCAATGTCAACCGATAACTCTCTCTTTTTAATTAGAAGATTCTGATTTTCTTTCTTGTTTCTAAAATTCATGAACTAAAAAATAAAAATAAATAAATTTTTAAATTAAAATTGAATTTAAAAAAAATAAATGACATGTCAAGGTTGAAAAGTATAAGTAGAAGGATGGAAATGGCGCTTTCACCCATAGTTTAGGTTAGCCATGATATTTCTTCATGTTCTCCACTTTGGTTCCTTATTATTAAAATTTTCCTTTCTTAAAAAAAAATTAACAAATTGGACATATAAGATGCAATTGAAAAAAACAATTGAAGCATAAAAAAAAAAAGAAGCTACTACATGTATAGTAACCAATCCCGTTCTGTTTTAATTGATAATATACTAAAAGCATGTTTAGCAGTGTGTGGTTGTGGTTACTTTTTAAATAAGTTTTCATGCCAAAATGCATGTCAATAATATTTTTTTTATTTTTTAAAAATTATTTTTTATATCAGCACATCAAAACGATCCAGAACACACAAAACATATTAAATTTTAATAAAAAAATAAAAAACATTAAATTTTTTAGGAGTATGGTTTGCATCGCGTTTCCAAACAATGCCATAATGTAAAAAGATATTAGTACAATTAAAAAGAAATATAGCTACAAACTATTCCGTAATTTAGAAGAAGCTATTTTATAAGTGTGCGTCGTTCTAAGGTTAAAATCATTTTTTTATGAAATTAATATAAAATATTTAGATTATAAAAAATTATTCAATATTTTTATTAAATTCAACCTAGCATGTTAACCATGAGTTTTTACACGTTGTCAACCTCTCGTTTAATATTAAATTGAGTAGGGATTTCATTAACATAATTCGGTCAACTTAGCTAATCCAGAAATATTCAAATTGACTAGTATAAAAATTCTAACATTGAAATTGAGAGAAAACAATGAAATTAACATAAAAAATTTTAACTCAACTTCCTGCCTAGCCTAAATTTAAAATTAAACCATGCATGGGTTTCCTTTACATGACTCAATTAACTTAGTAAATCTAAAAATAACCTGATTAGCTGTTAAAAAAAAATTGAAGGATGAAATTAATAAAAAAAAAGTAAAAAAAATACCTCTCCACCAAACTCATTGCTTAGCCTGCGTTTAAGATTAAACCATGTGAATGTTGTCTTGATGTAATTCAATTGAAATGGTTAATCTAAAAACTACCAAAAAAAAATGTTAAAAAAAAAATGAGTATGAAATTGAAAAAAAATATACAAAATTGAAATAGATATTTATAAAAACAATAAATAATCAAAATCTTGGACAATAAATAAATTTTTAACTAAAAATATTTTTTTATTCATGTTTTGTTTTAAAAAAACATTTTTTACTAGAAATATATTTTTTAAAATAAAAAATAAAATAAATACTTTTAATAATTTAAATTAAGGAAGAAAACATATCTCTTTAGCAAGAAACCTTTTTACTTTGTTAGTTTTATTTTTATTTTGATGAAAATACTTTTTTTTATATCATAACAATTATTTTTTAACAGTTATTTGGATCACCCATTAAAAAAGACCACTTTTAGTATGTATGGGTAGGTCGCTCACGGAAATAAATTAGGATAAGTGTAAATGTGTGGGCTGGTAACCCCTGAAAATAAACCATTTTGAATATCTTTGGGAAGGATGCCCATAAAAATAGAATATAATAAGTATGAGTATGTGAACAGGTTATCCATGAAAATAGATCAATTTTCTTTAAAAGATATATACAATTGAAAAGGCAAGTTTTAACTGAAAAAAAAAATTGACTAGATAATTTTATAAACATGTCATTGAAAAAACTAAAAGAATAGTTAATTTAATAAAACTATATAAGAAAATAACAATAATAAATTAAAAGAATAAATATTTTATTTTTATTGAATATTCACAAGCAAAGTTTTTAAAAACAATTATACATATTAGATTCATATATAATTATTTATAAAATAATTGCTTATATTATCATTAAGGACTCCAATCTTATTTCAAAACTATGGAATAATTGGATGGTTTTATATATATTATTTTAATAATTGTATTTAAAGTCTATATTAATCAAAGTTAAGCTGACTAATCTTTATCTTATGTCTATGCCCACCTTGAATCTAAAATCACATTTTAAAAAAAAAACAAGTTTAAGTTTTTTTAATGACTTTTTTTATTTAGATTTTAAGGCAATGAGTCGTCCTAATGGGTTGGGATGAATTTTAGAACTATAGTATGAACTTTAATAAATCTATTTCCAATCAAAATTCTCCTTTTAATTTCTCATCATAATATTTTTCTCGGTATGGTTAAAGGCTAAAAGCACCCATGTCAAACTCTCTTCTTCAATGCATATCTATTGATGAAAAAATTAGTTTTTTTGTGATTGAATTGTGATTCATCTAAAAAAATTTCTATCTCTTCATTTTCAATGACTTTCTCACTCATTTCTTGACCAATAAGTACTAAAATGAGAGAAAATAGATTTTAGAACTAAAAAATAAATAAATAAGATGGCAGTGATCATATATAAGAGTTTTAGAGATTTAAAGGACTAATATGGACTTTCATTGAAACTACAAGGATAAAATATGAAAATGTGATAAATTAAGGACCAAAATAGGCTTAATAGTGAAAGTCCATGATGTTTTAGTATATCAGTAACTAGATTTGATGCTTGAAGAATGTTTTAACACTAATTTTTAATTAATTATATGGCTAGTGAAACAAATATTTGCAGGACTCAAAAGATTTAGGGTTACTTAACATTAATATTAATTTTATTTTTTTTATTTTTACATTCAACATTATTTATACTAAGATAAGAAAAAAAGATAATTCATAACTAAAATCACGAGTTTTAAAAATTAATATAAATTAATATTTTTATTTTTTTAGATTCTTTTACAGAATTAATTTATTTTTAATTTCATCCATGACTACTTGATTTTATTTCTAATTAGTCTTTGTGTATTTTTTATTTTTTTATAGGATTATTCCAACCCTATTTTTATATTAGTAGAATAACCCATGTTGGTTCAGTTTTTTTCTCTATTTTTTTTTTCAAATTCATCATTCTATATTTTTTATTGAGTTTTTTGCTTTATTATTTTTCTAGTTTACCTTTTATACAGTCAAACTTAATCTCATGATAATGATCACAAATTTTAGCAATTAACACAAATTTTAGCAATTAATACTAATTGACTTTGATTTTTTTTAATTTTATTATTTTATTATTTTTTGGAATTAATCTTTATATTTTTTCTCTTTCTTTCCATTTTTTATATTAAATATTTTAATTTTAATTATTTCTTAATTAAATATTAATTAATGTAATTAAATGCGTCTATAAATATCTCAATTTATAATTATAAATTCTTTCACATCCAACAATGCAATGAAAAAGCATGAATCTCGCATCCAGATTTATGGCCTAGCGATTTTAACAAGAATTTCCTGTTTCTGTATCTTAGTTTCGAATTTTTATATGTATTTTTATTATTTTTGTTTTATTTGTTTTTTAGGTTTGTAGGATATTTAATAAATTCAAGAATTAATTATAATAAATGTAAACTAGTTCATATATCTTGGATTATAAAAAAATAAAAAAGCTGGAATAATCTTTATATATATATATATATATATATATATATATAAAATATCCTACCCAAAGCTATTCTATTGATAAAGAGCGCAGACTCCACTGTTTTGTTTTAATAATTTACGAAATGATCTTTTTCCTTCTTGCCTGTTGATCAAATATTCCACAGGTTTTTCCATGGTAATTGCTTAAAAATCCAAGCTGAAGACAACCTTCCACAAATTTCAAAGGAACACCAGAACAAATTTCCTTCCCATCAGGGCATTTTATGTTACACTTGTCTATCAAACGAAGCTTTGATCCACCCGTATAACGCAACTCTACATATAATGTTTGAGGTGACACTCAAATCAAAAAGAAAATAATAATAATAATAATAACACGACAATAATCCGAACCAAAAATTCCCAAGAGGCACAGAACCCCATTACAAAGACACAAACTTTGTTGTCTCTTTGCTTGCACACACCCTAACCTTTTCAATGGGACACGCGCTCTCTCTCCCTCCCCACTTCCTTTTCTACCACTTTCACTTTAAGCTCAGTCAGTAGCAGAACTCAAAATCAATCCCATTTCCTTTCCTTCACGATGCTCTCTCTCCTCTCATTTCTTTCTCTCCTCGCCATTGCAACTTCTTCTTCAACTAATGAGCAACCTAGAACCTTCATTGTCCAAGTCCAGCATGACTCAAACCCCTTAATTTTCCCCACCCACCAGCAATGGTACGCTTCCTCTCTATCCTCCATTTCCCCTGGCACCGCTCCCCTTTTACTCCACATTTACGACACCGTTTTCCATGGCTTCTCTGCCAAACTTTCCCTTACTGAAGCTCTCAAGCTCCAGGCTCTCCCTCATATCATTGCTGTCATCCCTGAACGAGTGCGTCACGTGCATACCACGCGCTCCCCTCAATTCCTCGGCTTGAAAACAACCGACGGAGTTGGTTTGCTCAAAGAGTCGGATTTTGGGTCCGATCTTGTGATCGGAGTTGTCGACACGGGTATTTGGCCTGAACGGCAGAGCTTCAATGACCGGGATTTGGGTCCTGTCCCGTCAAGATGGAAAGGGGTTTGTGCTAGTGGCAAAGACTTCGCTCCAAGTTCTTGTAATAGAAAGTTAATAGGAGCTCGCTATTTCTGCAAAGGATACGAGGCAACAAACGGTAAAATGAATGAAACGACCGAGTACCGGTCGCCACGTGACTCTGATGGCCACGGCACTCACACTGCTTCCATTGCTGCCGGAAGATACGTGTTTCCGGCATCAACATTTGGGTATGCACGTGGGGTTGCTGCAGGAATGGCACCAAAAGCTAGACTTGCTGCTTATAAGGTTTGTTGGAATGCCGGTTGTTATGATTCCGACATTTTAGCTGCATTTGATGCTGCTGTTTCTGATGGGGTTGATGTTATTTCGTTAAGTGTTGGAGGCGTTGTAGTGCCTTATTATTTAGATGCCATTGCAATTGGGTCTTTTGGAGCGGTGGATCGTGGGGTTTTTGTATCAGCTAGTGCTGGGAACGGTGGACCTGGAGGTTTAACTGTTACTAATGTAGCTCCATGGGTAACTACTGTTGGTGCTGGGACGATTGATAGGGATTTTCCGGCTGATGTTAAGCTTGGAAACGGGAAAGTGATTTCTGGTGTAAGTCTTTATGGTGGGCCAGGTCTGGCTCCAGGGAAGATGTATCCAGTGGTTTATGCTGGGAGTAGTGGAGGTGGAGACGAGTATTCTAGCTCATTGTGTTTAGACGGTTCTTTAGATCCCAAGTTGGTTGAAGGGAAAATTGTGTTATGTGATAGAGGGATTAATTCAAGGGCTGCTAAAGGTGAGGTTGTGAAGAAAGCTGGAGGGGTTGGGATGATTTTGGCAAATGGGGTCTTCGATGGTGAAGGTTTAGTCGCTGATTGTCATGTTTTGCCTGCTACTGCTGTTGGTGCCTCTGGTGGTGATGAAATTAGGAGGTACATGTCTGCGGCTTCTAAATCAAAGTCGTCACCACCTACTGCTACTATTGTTTTTAGAGGGACTAGAGTTAATGTTCGGCCTGCACCAGTGGTGGCTTCATTTTCAGCCAGAGGGCCAAATCCCGAGTCCCCTGAAATTTTGAAGCCTGATGTTATTGCTCCTGGATTGAACATACTTGCTGCTTGGCCTGATAAAGTCGGACCCTCTGGGATTCCGTCTGACCAGCGAAAAATTGAGTTTAACATTCTTTCAGGCACATCAATGGCTTGTCCACATGTTTCCGGATTGGCCGCTTTGTTAAAGGCAGCTCACCCTGAATGGAGTTCGGCGGCAATAAGGTCGGCATTGATGACAACTGCGTATACTGTTGATAATCGAGGCGAAGAAATGATTGACGAGTCCACTGGAAATGTTTCTACTGTGTTAGATTTCGGTGCTGGTCATGTTCACCCGCAAAAGGCCATGAATCCTGGGTTGATCTATGATATTTCATCATTCGATTATGTGGATTTCCTTTGCAATTCAAATTATACTCTTACCAACATTCAAGTGGTCACTAGGAGGAATGCAGATTGCAGTGGAGCCAAAAGGGCAGGCCACGCAGGGAACTTGAATTACCCTTCATTAACTGTTGTGTTCCAACAATATGGCAAGCATCAGATGTCCACACATTTTATTAGGACAGTGACTAATGTCGGGGATGCAAATTCCGTGTACAAAGTTACAATAAGGCCACCTAGTGGGACTGCGGTCACCGTACAGCCGGAGAAGCTTGTGTTTAGGAGGGTGGGGCAGAAATTGAACTTCCTTGTTAGAGTGGAAACCACAGCAGTGAAGCTCGCACCTGGGGCCTCTAGCATGAAGAGTGGTTCAATAATCTGGGCAGATGGAAAGCACACTGTCACTAGTCCCGTAGTTGTGACAATGCAGCAACCTCTTTAATCACCTTGGTCCGTTAGGGGTTTTGGGGATTTAGGAATTTTGCTCTATTTTCACTCTCTATGAAGAGTTTTTTTTTTATGCATCATGTATTATATGTATCTCTGTAAGATGAAAATGTGTTGGGGTTTTCTATATCAGAAAGCGAGTGGAGTCGGGGTTTGGAACGCAGAGTGAAGGCATAAATCGCCTGGGATAAGAGGTGAAGATCGAAGGTGTAATCTTTGTAGAATCAAGAATATGCATGTAGAGAAAATGCTGTGTGTATGGACTCAGAATTTAGCCAAATCATAATGAAAAGACCTCCCTTTTCTCTTTGGTGTAGAATCTTCAACTAATAATTCTATATCAGTTCAGTCGAGTGCATGCACTATGTGCATGTGAGAAAAAGATGCCTATCGTTGCTTGTTGAAATGTTTTTCCTAGCTTTAAGTAACTGGGTGTGAGCTAAGGAGCTGAAGAACGAAGACATCATATAATGACAGTAATTAGGTTTCTTTTATCTTGACACTGACAATATTTTGGAGTTTTGCCTCGACTTAAACAGAAGAAACCCTCGTAACTAAGATACAATTTTTTTAAAGAAAATATTTGAAGATATTTTATCAATCTTTTGAGCAATAAAAGAGGAAAAGGTTGGAAACTTTTTGTCAACAGGACAAATAAAGAAGAGGCCATGTTTCTGTCTTTAATTGCACCACACAAGGAGAAAGCCAACAAGGCAAATATTGTGTCGACATCGAATGATGGTCTCCAGCTCTCGAAGATACTCTAGGTCCTACTAACAGTAAGGTTTTTCTTTCTTTCTTTCTTTCTTTCCTTGTTGCTTCGTTAATGTATTTTTTTAAAACTACTAACAGTAAGGTTTTTCTTTCTTTCTTTCTTCCCTTGTTGCTTCGTTAATGTATTTTTTTAAAAAACTTTTAGAGTGATGCTCTAAATTACTATTGATTTTTTTCATAGCAAAAGGTCACGCATAAGAGAAATAAAATAAAAAAGTCACAGAGTTTTATAAGATAATTCCACTATTACTACTTTATTTTTTAAAAAAGATATTTAGAAGAATAGGAGTAATTATTTTTTAAATTATTTTTTATTTTAAAAAATAAAAGTATATATTTTTATTTTTTTAAAATTTAATATTTTTATTAACACATTAAAACTATATAAAAGTACTAAAAAATTAATTTTAAATAAAAATTTTAATTTTTAAAATAACCTTCAAACCATAGTTATTAAATTTAAACCGACCCAGCTGGTCGACTAGGGGGCTGGACCAGTTTGGGTTTGTCAAAAGATCGATCGGTGTAATGACTATCAATCCTGCTTGACCCGGCGGGTCAACCCGTGACCCGGGTGAGACCCGAGCAAGACTTAGTGTTTTTTTTTTCAAATGTGGGATTTAAAACCTATTATATCTTTTATGTTTCCAAAAAACAAAATTATATTTTTTTAATATATAATAAAAAATCTCTTGATCTAAATATTTCAACTTAAAATGATAAGATAATATTTTTTTTAATGTGAGATTTGAAATCCATTGACCTATCTTTTTTCAATTTAGAATTTGAAATCCATTAGTATATGTATTCTATATTTCAAAGAAAAAAACTATGTTTTTTCAATGTAGGATAAAAAAAAAATTTGGTTAAAATACTTCAAATTAAAAGCTTAACATAATATCTTTTTCATAGAAGATAAAAATCTTTTTAAAATATTCTTTTAAACTTTATTTTTTTATAATATGTATAACCTATACTTACATGGATTATTTAAATTTTTTATATAAAATATTAAAACTTTAATTTTTTAATTTTTCCGGGTTGATCCGAGTTGACCCATAAAATTCGGGACCTGATTCCTTGGCCAGGTCAATCTTCGGTCAAGTTTAATAACTATAGTCAAAACTACTTTGCAAATTGTGCCTTAGACTTGTTTGTTTTTTAGTTTTAAAAGCTCTTTTTAAAATGTTTATTTTTTTATTTTTTTACTTTAAATTAATATTTTTTTAGTGTTTTCAGATTATTTTGATACGCTGATGTCAAAAATAATTTTTAAAATATAAATTTTTTTTTTTAATGACGATGATTTGCGGCATGAATCATTATTTTTAAGGGCTGATGTCAAAAATAATTTTTAAAATATATAAAATATTTTTTTAATGACGATGATTTGGGGCATGAATCATTATTTTTAAGGTTCGTTTGTTTGCTAAAAAGTAATTTTTTTTGGAAAGTGAATTATTTTTTTATATTTGATAATATAATAAAAAATAAATTGAAAAATATTTTCCAGTATTTATTTATGTTATGGAAAATGACATCGAAAATAAGTTGTTGATGTTTATTTTTAAAAATTTATTAAAATAACAAGGAATAAATTTTACAAATTTAAAAGTTGAATGTGAATGAGAATAAAATTGAAAAAAAAAATTATAATTTCATAAATTATCTTAAATAAAATAAATTATAATCAAAATAATAGAGATCAAATTTAACAAATAAAAAATTAAAAGATAAAGAAATTAAAATAATAATAATTATCATTTTATAAATTATTTTAAATAAAATATATAACAATTAAAAGAATGAGGATCAGATTTGATAGATAAAAAATTTCAATTAAAAAATAATAAGAGAAAAGCAAATAATAATTATAAAAATATGGATCAAAATTAATATAAAAATAAAATTACAAGGAATAAAATTTAAAAAAATACAAAATAAAATATACGTAACAATCAAATATTTGAGGATAAAATTTGATATAATTAACAAATAACATAATACTTCTAAAGTTTTTACAACATTCAAAAAATGTTTTCCATCACAAATAAAAGTAAAATACTTTTTTGAAAATTAAACTAATTTTTTTATTAATTAAAAAATATTTTTTGTTAATTAATTTTTTTAATAATAAAAAAACATTAAAAAATTTTAAAGATAATTTTTAAAAAGCTATTTTCTATCCAACAAGAATTAATATATGATATTGAATACGACGGAATCCAAGTCATAGACATACATACTTCTTCTCCTGTGAACGCATCGTATCTGTCTATCATACACGCATGAAGATGGGCGCGCGTGCAAATTAGTGGGTTCTAGGACAAAACTGCCCCTCTGATGAAAGCAACTTCTATGCTACACGTGTACTTGCAATTTGAAACAGGGTTTTTAAAATGGCAATGACTTCGCGTTCCTTGTCGGCACACCACAATAATGATGTCACCTTCAGTCACTCGTCTAGGAATGTGACAGAATTCGATATATTATATTTATTTAGTTATGGACTCGTTTACACCACGCGGTCCTATAGTGAGTTGGATTAAAAAAAAAAAAAAGAATTTAATATACGTGACTAATTTACACCACGCGGTACTATATTTTAACTGGAAAAAAAAATATTGAGATTGTTGTCTATTAGACCGCACCGAGCCAGACTACTTCTTCCAATAATATTTAACGGAAAAAATAATATTCATTAAAATCCTTTTGGGAAGAGAAACTCGATACCACGAGGATCCTTCTTTTTTGTTGTTTAGATTGTGGCAATTCGATAATTAAGATGTTTTCCAGCGATTTTTTCTTCTTCTTTTTTTAATTTCAAAAACTAAATAAAATAAAATAAACTTTTAAATAAAAATTAAAATTATCATTACTATAGAGTTGACCATAAATGTTCTTCATATTTTAGTTTTTAGAAAATAAAATTTAAAATAAAAATAAAAATTATCATTACCATAGAGTTGACCATAAATGCTCTTCATATTTTATATTTTAGTTTTTTTTTATCTCTAAATCTTATATGATTATTATAATTTCAAGCCTAATATCTTCTATTTAGGCTATAGAAGGGTTTGGAGAAGTTAGAAAATTAAAAAAATAAAGAATAGCACATGAGGTTCGTGAACTAGGTTCACAATTTGAACCAAGCACCCCGTGTCTTTTAGTTTGCAGTGGAATTAGCTTATTGCATGCCTCTTCTTGTTGATTGGGAATAAATTTTTTAGGATATAAAAAAATAATATTTAAATTATTAAATTTTTTTTAATATTATTATTAAACTCGATACAACGATTTAAACTTGAAAATTTTTAACTTAACCATTTGTTTAACATAAATTTTAAATTAAATCATATAAAAATTAACTAATATGATTTATTCATCAGATAAATCTAAAAAAATACCAAATAAAAAATAAACAAGTCATGTTTACTTTAATCAACTTATAAAACCTTCAACTCAAGTTATTAATTTTACTGAGCTGGATTTATTTTTTATTTTATAATATGATAAAAAAAATATAAAAATCAATTTATAATCAACATAATACTAAATAGTAAAATTAACTCAAAATTCAATATTAAAAATTGAGATTAAAAAAATAAAATATAAAAAAACTTGCAATCCACTATAGAGGTTATTAAGTTGAATTAATATTTTTATTTTATAATACAATAAAAAAATTTAAAATTAATTCATAATCAATCCAATATTAAATAATAAAATTAACTAAAATTCTAATATTAAAATATGAGACTGGAAAAAGAAAACTAAAGGATAAAAAAAAGCTAAAATAAAAGGCTATTTAAAAAAATTAAAAAAAAATAAAAAGTCCATTCTTCCTACTACACTCTATCTATTTAAAAAGTTTAGGCATGTCGGCTAGAATTAGGCTCGTGTTAAACTTATATTTTTTTTAAAGAAAAAGAAAATAATACACCTTCAAACTAGGAACCTAAATGTTATACTCTATACTAAAAAGCATATACTAGAAACCTCAATATTATATTCTATACTAAAAAATATATGCCTTTCATTGTGCTACAGTGAAAGGTTGATGTCTTTTAATTATATTTTTTTGTTTTGTTTTTTTCTTTTCAATAAATATTTGTTTTGTTCAATTTAGTTTTTAAATATTAATTTTTTTTATTTATTTATCTCATTTTCATGATATAAATATCAGTTTGATGAGTTAATTTGATTTGATTTTTTAATCAAGTTGATTCAATTTTTTTTCTTAATTAGTTTTTCTTTTCAATTTCATTCTTTCATATTGATTTGATTGAGAATTAAACTTTATAATTTATTTTGTTTACTTTTCATTAGATTATCTTGATCTTATAATATGAGAATAAATCTTAATGAATTAACCTGAGTTAACTCGAATTGTTCTTTGTATATTTTATGTAATTTTTTTATTTAATTTTATCATTCAACATTGGGTCAGTTGAGAATTAAGCTTCATTATCTATCTTGATTTGCTTTTCATGAGAATATCTTAGCCTTAAGATCAAGGTCACGGATTTTGATATTTTAACC